TGTATGTATATATATATGTATATATGTATGTATATATATATATATGTATATATATATGTATATATATATATATATATATAATATAATTTTGTGTATTTGTATGTTTATACATGTTAGGTGTGAATGCTGCAAGAGAGGGCACGTTGACATTCATGGTTGGAGGAAAAGAAGAGGAGTTTAAGGCTGCTAAAGAGCTTCTAGATTGTATGGGAAAAAATGTGGTAAATACAGGACCAGTAGGCACTGGACAGGTGAGTGAGCTTTCGGCTGTTTACATTCCGTGCGGATTCCTTCTTTTATCATCACCAGAAGAGATTTTGTTTTTAGGCCAAAAGATATTGTGTTTCTTAAGTTTTTGAATATTGTCCTGTCTGGATATTTATTTTGTTTGTAGTGGTGGTGGAGGAGGCGGCAGCTTTAAAGCAGCATAATTTATTTTTAAATTATTTCAATAATTAGGCTGCCAAGATATGCAATAACATGATGCTGGCTATCTCCATGATTGGATGCTCAGAAACAATGAACTTAGGAATGAGGTAAAAAAAAAAGTTCTTTTCAATATTGCACACACTTAATTAATCTACCTTTTCCTTCATCATCTCTTATCCACTGCTGTTCTCACCCATGTTATGGCTATTGTATTAAAGGTGTTATGTCAGCTCTTGCTTTTGTTTTAATTTTTTCTGGGTCGTGCAGTTACATTTAACTCTGTACAAGCAAAATTTAAGGGTTTTATATATTTGGGTATATTTTATTGCAAAAAAGAAACTCGCATACAAAACAGTCAATTGCAACATGTGCTGAATTGAAAGACTGAATTACAAAAATATAAACTTGGCAATTAAAAGTTTACAAATCATTATTAAAATAGTGCAATATTAAATATTAAAATTTACATTTGAAACATTAAAAAAACAGACTTAAGTCAAAAATTACAAAGACAAGAGTTACAAGGGTTGAAATCTTTACTAACATTACTAGGAATATTTCACAGAGAGTGGAGAATGTTTATGCTATGTGTATAATTCCAGTATTACAGTAATAGTTATTATCTCTTATTATTTGTAGTAAAAACCTTTATATATATATTTTTAGTTGTTATCCTGAACATTAGACTCAAAATAATGAAATACTTGCACCATTTAATTGAAGAGTTTATTTGTTTGCAGGCTTGGTCTTGATCCAAAGATGTTGGCTTCCATCCTGAATACAAGTAGTGGTCGAAGCTGGTCAAGTGAGGTTTACAACCCTGTGCCAGGAGTCCTAGAAAACGTTCCTTCTAGTAATAACTACCAGGGTGGATTTGGTACAGCGCTTATGACTAAGGTATCTTAACTTTAAAATTCTATATAATGCAACATTAATATATATTTATTTTATTTATTTGAGTTCAACAGCATCCAACACCAAAATCAATAACAAAAATCAATGAAAACCTTCAAAAACAGTAAAACAATGGTAAACTCCCTGAAAAGGATAATATGTCAGTGAGTTAAATACAAGATACAAGATACAAGATAGCTTTATTGTCAAATTAAAATTTGAAATTGGTTTTTCTCATGGCAACAAAATATAAACATGACAACAATAAAACACGGATATGAAATATAGTGATATTATATAATAATAATAATAATAATAATAATAATAATAATAATAATATATAATAACAATATATAATGTGAAATGTGGCAAGACATTCTCGGGTGTTGTTATTATTGTGATACCTCAGAGACAGACCAGGAATTTATTTATCGATGGTTAACATGGTAATTCTTCTAGTAATAACTACCAGGGTGGATTTGGTACAGCGCTTATGACTAAGGTATCTTAACTTTAAAATTCTATATAATGCAACATTAATATATATTTATTTTATTTATTTGAGTTCAACAGCATCCAACACCAAAATCAATAACAAAAATCAATGAAAACCTTCAAAAACAGTAAAACAATGGTAAACTCCCTGAAAAGGATAATATGTCAGTGAGTTAAATACAGTCAGCCAAACAAGTAAAGTGTAACTTATGATAACATTTTGCAATTACTGATGAACAGTCAAAACATTGTATTGTGAATGTTTTTATTTTATTTATTTATTTTTATTTAAAGACAATGACTTGATACAATGAAATAAATTTCACATAATTGTGTTTTTCTAGTTCTATCTAATATTAAAAAGGGCTTTTATGTAAAAAATTTTGTATGGACACCGAAAAAAAACCACAGGCTTTTTTGTTTTCAGGATCTCAGTCTAGCACAAACTGCAGCAACGGCAACGTCTACTGCAACACCTCTTGGATCAATAGCTCACCAGCTGTACCGAGTGATGTGTAATCGAGGCCTAGGAAACAAAGACTTCTCTGTAGCTTATCAATTCTTAAAAGAGGAAACTGAAGTGTAAATTATTACAGATGGATTATATTTTGCCCATCTATTAACTCATTGGTATTTAACTTTGAATTTCTTCACAACTGATAATTGTATATTAATCCATGTAATATCTTTGATGGAGAATCATGTGGACATAGTGTTCAAAAATTCAATCCATAAACTGAATGCGGCTTGAGAGTCAAATGTTAGAAATTTATCAGATTTTTGCGCCCGGTTTGAATATGTTTGTAACTACTATATTATTGCGTGTGTCATACAACATAAAAATAAAAAACGATTGATTTAATATCAAATTATTGACTATCTCTAATAAACTGAGCTATTACCTAGAACAAGAAAAGAAGATACTTCAGTACCAATAATGGATGCAGTTACTTAAGGTCCACACTATCAACTAGCAGACTTTGGGCAACCTGACGCTTGCACAAATTTTGTTTGACACTCATTGGCTTGTATTAAGGTGAGATTTAGTGGCACTCACATGGGTCAACACACAACATTGTGACACATAGATTGTGTAATTTAATTGTCACAGCTAAGGTGCAAACCATTCTTAACATGTGTAACAAATGTCGGACCTCTTCTCTGGCCCTCCTGCTGGCTTTAATTAAGAGGTGACACCTCGTTGACTGACGTCAGCTCCTCATATTTGGTGACCATGCTCAACTTATGTGCGAAACAGTCGTGACTATCACCTAAAAATGTGTACCACTAGCCACGTACTGGGATACATACACTGGTATACTTTGCCACAGTTGCGCCTAGGTTGCACTTTAAAAAGTTTACTGCAAAATTAGCTCAAAAAATTTGGAAATTACCACATCCACTTTTTCGTTTACCGCGCACCCCAAAAACACTTTCACTAGTTTTTACTGTACAAGACCAAAATGTGTATGGGTGTCAGGGTGTAGTCAATATTTATTAAAATATCAGATTTTTAAAAACATATTTATTTTTTCTACACTCATGCCGCCAGATTATGTTGCACATAATGTACTGTATATGATGCTGACAGTAAAAATAAAAGGCAGGTTGAAACCAAAACAGTGAGTTTTCATTAGCTGATCTCAATGTCTTCTTTTCTCAATTGCATTGTGTGTTTGAATCAACACCAACATTGGAGTGTGGGTCATTCAGGGAGATGTTGCACTATAAAAACTCATTTGGTATTCTCGTGGTGTTGTTGAAACTAATATATTTTTGAAGGTTTTAATAGTTCTATTTCAGTCATAAAAAACAAGCATACTGTACTAATAACATTTTAGGGGGAGGGAGAGAAGCATGTTTAGCATCTCTCTAAATCAACGTTCCGCAAACTTTTTACTTCACAGCCTACTTACGATTCCAGGCACCAAGCAGCGGCCCAGCAGCCAGCCGTGCCAGGGATCAACATACCAAATCTTCAAGAACTTTTGATCATGAAGCCTCCATGTATATACAATATTTTGACATCAATATCTGTTCTCTCAGTGATAAAATTTTATTGTATACAAATTACATATTATTTTATTAAATAGATAATACCGTACATTTGTGTTTCACCACCCCCGACCCCCCCCTCCCCAGACAATTGTTGAATTTTTTTTCTACCATGATTCAACCAAACACGGTTCAGCCACACGTCATAGCAGGGCCGTAGCCACGAGAAGTGAAATGGTCAGGTTGCGAGCGAAGCGCCAGCACTGATGATGGGCTAGGGGGCCACCAAGGGCCCCAGGTCGGGGTTCAGGGTTCCGGGGCGATTAAACTGTAATATTATTGTAAACCAATAAACTGTAATATTATTGCATTAAGCCATTAAACTGTAATATTATTAACTAAGACCAATCAACACATAACATAAAACATGTACATATCAAAATTATTATGTTTAATCTTTCCTCGTCGGTGCTTGCATAAAACGTGATTTGGATCTAACATGATAATATCATGGTCCATTTTAATATTGATAAACAATCGAAATTCTCTGTACAATATTATGCTAAACATTTACAGAGTGGTCTTCCTTATGTTGTGGTCATATTAGGGTCAGGCTCACTATAATCGTGCAAACCCGGTCGCCTATGGTTCACCAACTTGGAATGACAAAATATGATAATAATGTGGAAAGTGTTACCAAAATTCAAAAGGCCATAATATACAGTATTATAAAAGTGTATCAAATTTCATGGAATTTTGATAGCTAACAACAGAGTTAGGACGATATTTAGTCATGAGTATGCAAAATTCGTCTGTCGCCAGATAAAAAATTCCGTCTTAGCAAATCTGCCATTCAAAAAATGCTGTGTAAGCATTACATTACATTATTACAGGGCTTACAGTTACCGATTTGTTAGCTGGTTGGAAGGTTGTCAATTTTTACTATAAGTTTTGTAGTATGGTTATGGTAAAGTTTAACCCTGTCGCCAAATGCGACACGGTTAAACGTGATTTACGTTACATAAACATATTTGCCAGGAAAAACATATTATTGCAGTAAAACTTTAAGGTAATAGTTAATATTTGCTTATTATAAGATGTTATGAATACTGTATTGTTTATTCGGAAAAATAGAATAGTCTTCTATGCAAAATATGGTCCTAAACTTGAAATCTTGATTGTCGCTTTATGCAGTGAAACATACGTTACATGATTTCTTCATACCCCAGTTCAAGAATTTGAACCAAACTAAACGTGAGAAGTAGTTAAGTAATAATCATGGATACAGCGTCAGTAAATCATTATTTGTGTTAAGTAATCATGTTTAATTAGTAATTGTAATTAGAAATATAATATGTATATCCGTCTTGCGACGCTCATGACGCTTCAATTCCGCCTACTCCCCGTCCCGATCATCCTAAAACATTTGATCCCCAACGTTTCAACATTTATAATACTAGTAAATGTGTTGTTAAATGTCTGCTACGATCTTGAAACAATGCAGGATCGATGGTTATATTAAAATAATATCTTAGGTTTACCACTCACTCAACCAGACTGAGCGAATTCATGTAGATTTAATATTGAGATACTTGATAACAGCCCATCACAATGCGGACAGCCACAGTCATTCTTCTGGGCTTGGTTATTTTTATTGATAGAGCAACAGCCGTTAAAATGAAGGATATAGTCCACTGTATCGACAAAGTCTGCAGAGTTACATTTTCTGATCCTAATTTGGTCGATATTCAAGACTGCATTAATGATTGTACGTTTGAATTTGACAGTAAGTGTTGGAACATTCTGTTTGCATACCTATTATTTTTAGTATCCTTTGGATGTAAAAGTATAATCGAATTTGTCTATGTTAATGACATAAATACCGAAGTAACATGTACGGTAGATAGGTATTGTGTGTTGATGATTCTGCAATAATAAAATATGAGACAATTAAGTATTACTTGTTAATGTCGTAAAGTCAGAAATCAAAAGTATACAAATTACAGTACAAGACAAAGAGAGAAAAAAGCTTTCGCTTATTGAGAATTGGTCTTAGAAAATGACATATTGAAATAGTTATAAATGGACCGTACCGTATTATTTTATTGATACAGCATCACCTGGTAGAACCGACGCAATAGCCCTATGTGTGTTCCAATGCAGTGATAGCATGATTGAATCTATTTGGGACAATATTAAAGAATGCGTGATTTATACGTGTACATTCGACTATAAAAGTAAGTGTTTTCAAATATTACCAGTATACAGATTTCAAGTATCATTTAAATGCTCTAAACCTCAACCGGATTGTCTATGTTAATGACATCCGAAGTAACATGTATTGTGTGCTAATAATTCTAAAATAATATAATAGACATATCAGTCAATCAATTATTACTTTTTAAAGTTGAACTTTCTTCTGGTATGAATATTCAGCGTAGAACCCCAATTACCGTTAATCTTTAATCTGTATTCATTTCATCATAAAATAATAAAATAGATAATGAAATAAAATTTTAAAATAATGGATGAAATTGGAGCTTATTTGAACCTCATAGAGGTTTTACAGTTATGAGTCCATTTGTAATTAAAATTGTTAAGTTTTCAAATACATTAAAATAGTAAAAAGTTAAATGAAATACATAAAATACAAAGAGACAACAGGTCAAAAGCTTACCTAACTTGCACAGAAATGCGAATAATATGTGGTTTTAATTAAAACATATTTAAAAAGAAAATCTATACAATATAAAATAACATAAAATAGAACCAGTAAGATTTGTAAGATAGTAAATAATAGGCAATGATCCTGAACAGACACAAAATATTGCAATGAATAAAAATTTAGAATGAATTAAAACATTTCTTTAAAATAAAAACCGATTTGGTGGACTTAAGATGATTGCTAAGTGAGTTCAATATTTTAGGACCAACATCGTGTCTATTTAGTAATAAAATGTCTAATAAAATTTCTTGTTGAATCTCGTATTTTATTTAATTTATACTATGCATATTTGTATTGACAAACTTTTACTTCTTTCTCCTTTCTTTCAATTTTGCTGGGATATACTTAATTTTTAAACAATAGCTCATCTTTCAAATTTCCTTCTAAGTAATCCCAGAATGGAAATCATTGTGTATCAAGGATTAATTTGTTACCGTGATCATCGATTTGTTAACGTTTTTAGCTCCGATGAAGAGCTCTTGAAATACCCGGCTGATCCATTAATAGATTTTTTTGTGCTGATTTATTTTTTTTTGTATGGTATTATTATTAGCTCCTATTAGAAGCTGAATTTCACTTCTTATTGTTCTTGTTGGTACATAATAAACTAGAGGTGATTTTTTTTTTAAGTTGGACAAATGAACATTCTAATTATTAAAAAAATGTCTCTTATTAGCTCTTCCAATTTTTTTTGTCAACCAGCTCTCAAATATGATTATAAACGTTAAAACACTGAATAGAGGTAACCTCAGTTTAAAGCGTGGACCGGTGAGAGCGGTCACTCTAGATTGTATAGGCCGCAGTTAGGGCCAATTATTTTTTTAAAAATTAATATTAGCTCCGATGAGAAGCTCTGGAAACACTCGGCTGATTGATTAATATAACCTTTTTGTATGGAAGGCCGTTCGGGCCAATTATTATTATTATTATTATTATTATTATTATTATTATTATTATTATTATTATTATTATTATTATTATTATTATTATTATTATTATTATTATTATTATTATTATCTCCGATGAAAAGCTCTAAACTCGGCTGATTGATTAATAGATCTGTTTAAGATCTATTAAGGAATACCTGGCTGATTGATCTTTTTTACTGACTAATTAATATATCTGTAACAGAACCAAACGAACCCCCTGGCTACGGGCTTGCTGTTTTGTATGGGCGGCTGTTAGGACCAATATACTCTACTTTGCTAAGTTTATTTTAGTCCAACCGAGTCCATAATGTATTAATTGGAATAGAATTTCATTAATTTGAATGGATTATATTTAATTTTCATCATCCTTCTGAGATTTTATGGTAAGATATACGAGGCAATCATCTGCCAAAAGTCTTGTAGTGCTACAGTAGTTCTATTTACCTCATTATGGATCTTTATTATATGAAGAAGAATATGTTTCTGCCTTTGGCGCTCCTTTATAAGTACGGGGAATCTACTGTACTCTATAGAATATCCATTTACCAACTATTCATAATCTCATTGTGCCTTGATGCAACGTTAGTGTACTAAATCTATGAGAAATTGGTTTTTTCTACATGTTAGGACGTTCTCAACTGCCGGATGAGAAGGATTTAACGATGCAGATAAATCCGGAAACCAATTCTGTCTAAAGTATAACATGATGGTAAGGATCCAATAGAAATAATAGTAAGCAAACATTGGCCCCTTATAGGTACGATAGGTCAATTTGGGTCCCAGTGAAAGATCACCATAAATTTATAATTTTTGGCATGTATTTACGGGCCCTTTATGGATCAGATCTAGAATTAATACTGTATGGTTTTTAATATGGGGCCTTCCATACAAATAATGGGTCCAACATATATATGAGACCCAGTTAGCAAGCAAATGTGTGGCCAGAAGATATGGTGTTTGAATAAACGAAATGTATAACTTTTATCCTGAATAGATAAGTTATGTGTTGTGTTTTTCGTATAATAGAAATTTAAACAAGCCAATTTTATTTTTCCCCCTAAATAAAGTAAAATAGGATTTAACTATTATTAGCGCATTACCCGAGTGCGATTGCTTATGTACAGACCAACAAACATTACGGTATCAAATACAATCGTATAATAATAAAAGAAACTATATACCAATCACTTTTTAAGTCCATTTTGTTATTAATTTTGTTAAAGGTGCTTGACAGAGAACTGAACTTCGAAAAAAACAATTAAGTGGGAAGTCGGTTTTGGTTATATTATCTGACTTTGGTTATAATATCTGACTTTACGACATTAACAAGTAATACTTAATTGTCTCATATTTTATTATTGCAGAATCATCAACACACAATACCTATCTACATGTTACTTCGGTATTTATGTCATTAACATAGACAAATTCGATTGATATTCTTGTGTCATTGTGTTATTAATATTCATTTGAACGCTGTATACAAGATGTGTATAAGAGACAGTATCAGACATTAACCCATTAACAATAGCACAATTGGAATTATAATTTATTAAAATTTAGATTTTCAAACTTAGAACTATTAAAATAGGTATTTGATTATTTATAGAGGTTAAAACATGATAAAACTACTACTATATAACAACATGTTGTTGATTCTTGACTAATAAATGAAAGTATGCATTTCATACTCACTTCAGCTTCTTCAGAGAACTGATTGACTTATTAACAATGATCGGCAGGGGAGGGGGAGAATTTAGTGATTTTTGGTCAGTCAGAAAGATCAAAACCTATCTCAAACCACCATGTTGTGAGACATATGACATATCTAGACACTTGGAAATAACGCTGTGAAATTAGGTTAAAAGAACGTACATTTTACAAAATAACGTTCTTATCACCAAACGGTAACGTTATTATAAACTTCTTAAACGTAATATTGTTAGCTGGGGTTACCACACTTTTCCACCAGATTTTTAGATTTCGTTTTTCTTAAACACCATCTGGAGTTTCTGATAATGTTGTTATAAAATACCAAATATATATGACCACCATGGACGAATTCATTCAACATAAAGAATGGCGTGTTTCATCAACAAATTGTTTTTTATTTAAACACCTTGTTGACTTGGCACATGGGAAAAAGAGAAAATTACTTTGGAAACTCTGACGTAGACTCTGTTATTGAAGTTGTTTAGGTTATTTTGTACAATTCAGGTTTATCGATGTGATTTTGCGTTAGGAAAATATCAAAGGAGTGATGTTTTGCCCTACCCGAAAAAAAATCGCAAGTGATTCG